ATTATATTATATATAAATAACCGACCCTGATTAGACTCAATCCTTAGAGAGAATTTAATGCCCATATCTCCGTAAACTATTCAAGAGTGGGGCTTACGCCATTTTTTCTTTGTTGTCTAGCACTGGCTGTGGCTGTGTTTGGCTGTGGGTCTAATAAATATACTTAGTAAAGAAAGATAGAGAGCTTTCCCATCTAGATCAGGAACAAGGCAAAAAATACCTGCTCTCATAATTGCTATTCAATATTTCAACAATATTATCCTCCCAAACAAATAAGTTGAAATTGAAGTGAGTGGAAATTCAACTAGAGCTTTTTCTCTCTACAGGAGTTATCTTAAGAAAAGACTGAAAAACCAGAAATAATTGATAGAGGAATTAATAATATTATTTTATTAGTAAATCAGTGACTATTCATGCTGTTGTTGTTATTATTATGTACCATTGAGTCATCTGTGGCTCATAACGACCCTATGTACAACAGTCCTAAACCCTGCTCTATCCTGCGTCAATCTCACCATCTCCGACACACTTATCCGACTATGCCAGTCACGGGGTCTTCTTCTCCTGCTCTGTCCCTCCACCCTTCCAAGCATGATGTCCTTCTCCAAGGATTGGTCCCTCCTTGCAACATGTCCAAAGTATGTCAGACCAAGCCTCAGAATCCTTGCCTCCAAGGAGCAGCCTGGTTTAACCTACTTGAGGACAAATCTGTTCATTTTCTTAGCAGTCCATGGTATATTCAATACTTTTCTCCAACACCACAGCTCAAAGGCATCAATTCTCATTCTATCATCGCTAGTCATTGTCCAACTCTCTGATGCATAGCAGGTGATTGCAAAGACCATTGACTGTATCAGGTGCACTTTAGTCTCCAGAGTGACATAATTGCTCTTCAGTACTTCGGAGAGATCCCTAACAGCAGACGTTCCCATTGTAATACATCCATTCATAGGTGGTTTTTTTTCTCTCCTCTCCTTTATTCCCATCTGATGGAGATTTTAAGGTTTGAGTGATGTTATTATTTTATTGCCTTATCTCTGACTATCAAATATACTACATTTCTGGCATATTAAACAAATTTTGTAATCCAATAAATAGTACCAGCAGCCAGGAAATTAAAAGGCGCATTGCCATGGGAAAGTCTGCTGTTAGGGACCTCTCCAAAGTGCTGAAGAGCAGTGGTGTCTCTCTGGAGACTA